GTGCCTCGCGGGGGCTGCCCTGGGCGGGCCGTGCCGGTGGTGGCTGCGTGGCTGCTGTTCCCGTGTGGGCCTGGGGCCCGTGGCCTCGCTGCCGACCTCTTCTTGCGCGTCGCAGGCCCCAGCGGCCCTCTATTTTTGGGGTCACATTTTTGGGCAAGGAAATTTTAGCTTCTAGCTATTTTTTTTTTAAAGTTATTTTTACTTTTATTGTATGCATTTTGCGTGGGTTTTTTTCCCTGGTATTTAATAATCTGACGATTATTAGATTATACAACATCAATAAGAAAAATCCACTTTCGGAGTCTTGCAGTAATAATGCCTCCAAAGTGTGTCTGGTTTATATTACAATTACAGTAGACTGTTCTGAAAACAGAATTGACTTCTTGTAATACTGGATCTTCACTAATAAAGTTCACTGTCTGTCTTTGGGGTTGCTTTATGTGTATTTTCATGGCAAGGACAACTTTTGGTTTTTCTCATTCATGCAGGGATCAAACCTGGAGATACCTCTGTGGCTTGCTAAAGGTCTACATGACAGCAAAAGAAGAATAATTTCTGTGGAACTGCCAAAGATTTACAAGGAAGCCTGGAGGACAGTGTTCAGTGCTGATGCTAATGTGGTTGATCTGCATAAAATGGGGCCATACTACTATGGATTTGGCTCCCAGCTCCTGAATTTTGTCAATCCAGAGAATCCTGAGATAGCTCAGACTATCCTGCAGGCAAGTACCTGAACTAAGTCTTGAAATTTGGTTTTATGTTTTTCCATCTTCCTTGTGTTCCCAGCTGCTCAGCAGTCTTCAGGAAAAATACTCTGTTTTAATCCAAATGACTTCTGGATTGAATATGGATTTCTAGATCAAGCTGTAGGAGGACCCTTTTGGCAACTGCACAGTCTAGTGGTGGAATTCTCAAGTATGCATCCAGGAGTGTAATTTTACCTTGGAGTTTCCACACAGTAAATATGGTATTTCATAAAATCCTGTAAAATAGGACTAGAGGAGATGTAAGATTATTTAATCGTGCCTGTGCTGCAAGGAAGAATTAATTCACCCTCTATTATTGCTATTTTTCTATCCTGGTTTTAAAGCTCCACAATGATGAGACTTCACACTGCTCTGGGTAATCTGTTTCAGTGCTCCACCATCCTAATCTTAGAAGGTTTCCTCTAATGTCTAAACTAAAGCTCCTTCATAGCAATACAAGCTCTGTTCTGTTTGTCTCATACAAAGTAAACGCTGAGGATAGATTATTCTCTTCCTTCCTGCAGCAGTCCCAATTCATTTTTTATGTCTTTGTGGGTCATGCTTTCTAACTTCTGATTGTCTGTACTGTGCACTGCTGGTATCTTTCCAGTTGATCTGCATCCACTGTGACATGCAGTGCCCTGAACAGCATACAGTCTCCTGCCCAGGACTTGCGCTGATGAAAACAAAAAGATTACTTTGTGAATTTTGTAGGCCATGATGCTCTTTGCTCATCGTGGTGCAGCAACTTGTTTTTCACGATAGAGTGACATTGGTATGCATTTGGTTTGCAGTCCACAGTAAGATGGTACAGATTGCATATGCAGACAATCGTTCCTTTTCCTGTGTTTGTACAGTTCCCTATTTCTGCCTTAATGTAAAACCTTACATTAGTCCCAGCTGAATTACATCCTATTGTTTTCACACCATCTTTCTAATTTGCCAGGATATTATGAATTAAGAGTTCAGCTCTCCAACACGCTTGCAGTCATCCCTCCTCCTTCTCCTGCATGTCGTTTGTTAATTTAATAAGCATAACTTCTGTTCCTTTAGTAAGACAGTACTCAGTTCCAGATAGACCCCTGTTGAACTCCGCTCAATATGTTCTTCCCTCCTGACAGGAGCTATGGATAATTGTCTTTACTGACCACCTACAGGCAGTTTAGCTAAATCTTGCAAGAATGCCCCATGACAGATACCTATCTACTGCTTTTTCCTCCCTTTGTAAAGCCTAGCATCCTGCCACGATAGGAAACTAGGCTGGTCTCTCAAAGTTTGTACTTGGCAAGTCCATTTTGGCTGTTACTCTTCTTTCTATTTTCTTGCAGAAGTTTATGTATAGTTTATTTGTTCCAGTATGTTTCCAGGAATTGATACTGATGGATTTATAATTCCCTGGCTCTTCCTTCCTCGCTCTCCATCTCCCCTTTCTCTTTTAAAAGATAGATACCATCTTTGCCAGTTTCCGGACTTCTCTGCTCCTTGAGCTTTTAAAGATAACCACTAACAGCTTTGAGATTTCTTCAGCCAGGTCTCTAAGTAGTCTGGGATGATTGCTATTGGCTTTTTTTTTCCTTCATCCCCCCCCTTTTTTTCCCTTCACCCCCCCCCCCTCTTTAAATGAAGGCTGATGCAAAGAGGCTTTAAAGCACTGCTGCTTTCTTGGAGTTGTCCACTGAAAGCTTGCTTTCTGCATTGAGGAGGTGACCACACCTTTCCTTGTCTTTTCTCTTTCTGCTAATGGACATCTTAGGAAAAAACCCACATTAGCACACATTACTTGTTGACAGAAAAATCAAAGCATGCAAGGTATGCTTTCTCTTTATTAAAAGGAAACAAGAGGGGAGTTGTGCTGACTTAAAAAATAAACGAAACACCAAAAAAACCCCTCTCCCAAATATTCAGGAATTATAAATATGAAGTATAAATATTTAGCAGCAGAGCCAAAATGAGATGAGAGTTACTAATTTATAATATATTTATTCTATAAGTAAATCTCTAAAATACTACAGTTCTGATGATTCTAAAATCAGCTTCTGAAATAACAAAGCACAGTTTGCAAAGAGTTTTGACCCTTTTTTTTTATTCCCAAAAGCAAAGATAAAGAGGGAAATAAAAATCCTTAAATATGTCTTGTTGCTTAGCTTTTTAAAAGGTTATTTATTAGTTATAGATTTGGGTTTTTGACTTTTTTTGTGGTTTAGTGTTTTTTCAGCATACTGAATGCTTTACAGTGGTGGTTTGGCTTAACTTCCAGGCCGTTCACAAGTTGCAGCTTGTATGTTCCTGCAGCAACTGCTGTGGCATGAGATTCATTCCACCCGCTCTGAAGCAATGATTGCTTGTGAAGTGACATGGAATAGATTGTAATTGTGTTATACTCTGTGGTCTGCTCAAGCCTGTCATTAGGAAGCAGCCAAAATCTAATTCTGTGCTTGCTTCCCATCCAGTATATCAGGCACTTGTTCTCCCAGCTTAGGCAGGAAATGTTTTGTCTTTGCATCCAAGGTTAATAGGTGCTACACTGTTTGCAGACCCTTGACTAGTTGTGAACTAGAGCCTACACCTTTGGCTTTTCGGTCTTGAAAGCTGAGGCCTCTAGCATTGGAGCTGAAGAAGCCTCTTGTGTTACCTGTCAGTAATTCTGTTTATTTTCTTTAGACATTTATTAGCCGTTTTCGTCGTATCATGGACTCCTCTCAGAATGCCTACAACGAAGACACATCAGCGCTGGTCGCTCGGCTGGATGAATTGGAGCGAGCCTTATTTCGAGCTGGCCAGAAAGGGCTGAATGACTTCCAGTGCTGGGAAAAGGGACAGGCTTCTCAAATCACGGCTTCCAGTCTGGTCCAGAATTATGGGAAAAGAAAGTTCACAGATGTGGATGGTTAAAAGTCTGAAGAACATGCAGCTACAGTGGGGCACACTGAGAGTTTTACAGTCTGTCTGTCGCAGAAGGGAAAGATGAATCAGCTTTGGGGAAGGACAGGCTCCCTGTCCATTAATGGGAGTTCTTCTCTATAACATCTTCGGATTAGACTAGTGCAAATTTTAAAGGCAGACAGCAAGGCTATAAAAAATAGATCACATCACATCACTGGATAGCTTTACAGCTTACTGATACCACTCCTGAGGTATGCAGTTAAAGTGTTTGCTAGGTGGCTGAAAGGGTATGAGAGGATTTTCTAAAAGGGTAATTAATATTTATTAATCTTTATCTTCCAAATTGATATTTACAATACCGCATCTGTTTGGGGAAAAAAGTGTAATTCTTTGTATTTCATCTTGTCCTTCCCATTCCAGCCTCCTGGGAACAGCTGTTTTCAGGTTCCCCGTTCTTTGGAGAGCCCAAATAATGTGGAAAAAAATGTGGTACAAACCGCATTGAATTTTTCCCATTTTTTACACATTGAGGTGGAACAGGTACTCTTTGTGAGGCAGGAATGTTTTTCTTTGCTGACTTTTGTACATAGTGCTAGTGCCCCGGAGAAAAATACCTCCTCTAACCCATGTAGCGAGCAAAGTGGCCATGCAGGTCTCATGTGCCGCCTCATCCTCTTCTCTCCCTTTCGGCCCTTGTGGGCTTGATACTGCACAGGGTGGAGAATGTTCTCGTTTGATGCAAGTGGCTTTTGCGATGGATGCATCTTTATGATGGGTGTTAAGCTCCTCCGCTTGTTTTACAAAGGAGGCAACAGAAGGCAACAAAGAGTTAGTCCAGACCAGATCAGAAACAGCAACTTTAATGGAAACTCTCCCCCATTATCAACCTCTGAGCCATCTGTTTTCCTATGAGAAATTCTTCAGATTACTAAATTTGGTTAGTAGAAGGGACAGAGCAAATGAACTGAGTTTCCTTCCTTCTGATCCATTTAAATGATCCAGTTAATGTCATTCTTGCCAGTAGGAGTGACTGGAGTTGGAACTTGCTAAACAGCACAGTGGTTATCATCCAGTGTGGATGCCCTTAAACCTAGATTATCTGAAGTCCCATTGAATTGGAGACAGAAAGGAGATGGTTATCTCTGTAGGACCTGGTTCCCATGGTCATCAGGATGGTTGTCCTTTGGAAGCAGGTGTTAGACATCTTATGGGTGCTTCTAAGCATCTGTAGAAGGTGGACCTTGCAGAGTACCTAAGCGGAGGAGCCAGATCGTAATGGTACTGAGCGCTTCCTCTTCTGTGGGAATCACTGGGAGGTGACAGCAAGATCCAAATCTTGGAGGAGTTGTTACTGGACTTGCAGATGCACCTGGATATTGGATGCTTCAAACTGGAAACCTCAAGTACAAAGGGTATGTGGCCATTCCTTGGCCAGAGGAGTGAAAGCTCTGCCTCTGGAGGTGGTGAGAGGGGACAGCGTGTTGGCTTCACAAGCACCTCGGCGTCTCCGCCTCAGCTGCACAGGGCCAGCTGTCCTGCCACAGGAGACTAACTGGAAGCTGTGCCTGACAAAGTATTTCAAGTACGTGCCAGAACAAATGCTGCTGCACTTAATGACTTAATGGCACATAATAGCCTATGCATTTTCACAAAGCTTTTGTCTATTGTTTGTTTCTTGATTTTTAAGTTGAATAAATTTTTTGTAAGGGGTTGCTCGTAATGTAAAATGTCTGTTGTTAATTGCCCCGCAGCAGAAAACGTAGTCATAGATCGGAAAGTCCAGGTCTCTACAAAACCATGGCCATGACAGGTAATGCAGTCCTGCTTATATCATTCCCCTTCTCTTACAGGTAACCCGGTCGGGAGGTACATTTGTGCAGTCATGTGAGTGTAGAATTAGCCCACGTGGGTAATAGCTGTTTGCTCAAGTCGTGGGAGAGACACTGCCAACCAATCAATGAGCTATTGATTTTATAAATTGCATTTTTATGAAACACAAGATGGGTGGAGGTGATTCCATTTTACCTCAACTTTGTTGCGGAGTGGTGGGTAGAGGGTGGAAATTGGCTGCCTCTGTATTCGTACTCTGCTGCTCCAAGCACTGGAGCATAGACTTCATGTAGCATGTCAAAGCTGTGTTCAGTGCTTCAGCTGCAAGGGAAGCAAGCTTAAGTCCATCTGTGATGAGAAGCATTTCTGAATTGGAAGGATTATTTTAATGAGATGGTGGCTTTGAGATCTAGTTGGTTTATAACCAAAATCACTAGTTCATCAATTTCTGGATTGGTTTTGGTGACTATCCAAACTCACTTTCCTACATTTGTAAGAACATTTTTCTACTCTGCTGCTGTATGCAAAGTCCAAGCGGACGGCTGCTCATTTGCCAATATTTTGTGCAGCTACTAGAGTGGGGAGAAAAAAATCCCTGAAGTAGTCCTCAATGTCACTGGCTTTTTGTAAGTATGCAATGTCACTTATAGTAACCCTAGGTGTTCAGGAATAAACAACAGTAAGACCCTTAAAAAATCTGGTCCTGTAATTTTAAATTACAGTGTTTGGTTAGTAGATTTGCTATTCTGTTGAATTTTTTTTCTTTTTTTTTGTTTTTTTCTTGCTGGCGGATGCTTTTTTCCTGTCCAGAAATACAACAAAAGAGTGCTCTGTACTTCTTATGAACACAGACTGCCCTTTATGATTGCACCGCAGCAAGCTGTAAGTTAGAGGAGTTTGAACATGTGTATTTTCAGAATGGCACAATAAATCCTTATTACAGAACTATACAAAAGAGGTCTGAAAAGGACTTTCAAGTGTCATTTCTCCCCATGTCCCTCAGTTTTTAAACTGGAGGACTACTGATGTTTATGAGAAAGCAGTCCATAGACACATTTTATGGTGTTGCCACAATGGTTTTCATTGCAATCAAATAAAAAATAGGCAAAATTTGAGATGCTGATTAGTTATGTGTTCACATAAGAATATTTGTTTGGGTTTTAATGGCCTGTTTTTGAAAAGAGGTATGAGCTGACCTGGCCTGGTCCTTCCTCTAAAGGGAGGAGTTGGACTTGATGATCCTTATGGGTCCCTTCCGATTAGCCCCATCTAACCCATCTCAGGGTGGTGTTTGTCCAGCCAGGCCTTTAGAAGCCGCCTCTGGAGGAGAACCCACAGCCTCCCTAGTCTGTTCCCGTGCCTGCCTGCAATGTGTGATGAACCGACAGCAGTGTCGGTCAAGCTTCCCGGTGGTGAATTCCTGTTGGAATGGTTAGTGAAACTGAACAATTTTCCTCACTTAAGTTTTACATTAACTTCCTGTAAAACTCTCAGCCCCTTTTGTTTCTCTCTTCTATGTATTTTTTTCAAGCAGGTGAGGCAGCCGTGGAGGTTTGACACCAGTTAAATCAAATAGCTCTGCAACCAGCACACACACGCTTTCTCACCTATCTAAATTACCCTTTCACAAAATGTTCATGTTTCTTCCTTTGTCTCCTTTGCTCTAAACAATGTCTTAGTTTGTCCTCTGGCATTGATTTATTTTCGGTCAGCAGAATGAAGCGGTTGATTGCTTCTGCCAGCCTGGAAGCAATAGGTGTTGTCATTCAGACCAACAGCAAGCAGGAGGAGCAGCAGCAAGAAATGTTTTGAGAACGGACATACTGTAACACTACATATTATTTTTATGAGAGAAACAATGGCACCTAACTGAGTTAGGAGCACAAGCCTTTCTGATCTTGATCAGTGATTTTCTACCCATTTTTTGGTGACCAGCTATTACAAGAGCTTCATTCAAAATTTTAATTCAACCAGTTGCTTAACAGAGATGTAATGTAATCAGTAGAGGCACAGCGTGAATGCTTTCTTCACACAGAGCTGGTTCTGTCCCCAGATGTGCTTTTTATAAAACATATTGTCTGGTAGCACAGCAGATGGCTCAGGAGTTCGTGGTTTTATTTTAAAAACTAGCTATTCATCTAGCGCTGCCTCTGCCTGTCAGGAAGCAACTGAAAGCTGTTCTTTGCCTCAGTTTCCTTTTCAGACAAACGGAGATAACACTCCGTTATTAAGAGTGTGTTTGTCCTCTTGATTGGAGGCAGCGTCTTTGTTAGAGCAAATATGCCAGCCAGATTTTCCCAGCTCAGATGCTTACTTGATACGTGCTTGTCAGAGCTAAAAGATTCCCCTTTTCAGAAATCTGGTTTCCTTGATCAGTCCTATTAAACCCTTACTGCGAAGCTTCTTCAAAACTGCCGCATACCTGCCACATATCACACTTACAAGAATGAGTGCTTTTCCCACTCTCCGCTCTTCTCTCCTACCTGAACAGCCATTTGGCCCTGCAGAGAGTGGCCGAGCGTGCAGTTCTAAGCCCATATTTCTCCTCTGTTTTCCTGATCTTACCTGCTAAGAAGGTTGACGGCAGCCTGAGCACTAAATACTGAGCAGAATTGTCGGTGGGACTTTGCGCAAAAACTGGTGCAAGGATAACAGATTCCCCTGGTTTCATCCTCTCACATGAGCGAGTAATGGGGGAAGGCCATGCACACTTCCAACTTACGTCTGATGGTTTTGCTTTGCAAGACTGGCTTTGGGAACTGAATTCTAGTGCGTGTAACACACTTTTCTGTGTTTTGTGCTGATGAGGCAATGTGATTCAAGTGTGGGGCAGGCAGATGCTGCTTTGGAAAGAAGCTGTGCTAGTTTGGGCTTCCCCTGAAACTGTCTCCTGGGTGAAGACCATCTGAGTACTTGCCTTGAGTTGTATCTTCTACTGCAGTGTTGCTGGCAGAGAGCTGCTTCTTACATCTAGGTCCAGGGGGGCTTTTAGGTGTGGGAACAGCCTAACATGGCCTTTGTTCTGAAACTAAACCTGAAGTGGTGTCAGCAGGACCCTGGGGATTGTGTGAACCCATTAATGTCATGTGCACATTGCCATGTGAGAGGATGCCAACCTACTGCAGCTGGGCTGGAGCTGAACACACACGTTACTAGCGTATTAAGTTTTTATCTCATTTATCATGTCCTCTGACCCTATGTACACAAATCAATCCGATC